TCACTGGTGATGAGATGCCCAGGATAACAGCGAGTCCTTACAACAATAAAAGCTGATTGTGCCTTTGACCGACAGCCAAGAATTTAAAAGAGGATCTTCGAAAACTAAAAGACAGAATCAACAGAAGGGACGAAAATGGAAGTTGTTCCGGTTTAATCACTTTGACAAGTATGCACATTACTTTCAAAAGAATTTCTGGCACTAAGTTAGGAGAAAGTGGTCTCCATCAATGTTACTATTTTTACCATTTTATGACAAATTTGCTCAGCTGTCCCTCTTCAGAATAAGAGGCCTCAAATTTGCTCCACAGGAGCTGCCAGGAAAGAGTTCTCCGTGAACTCACAGGACACATGTTTATAACCTTTGTTCAGTATTTACTCAGATGTTTTCACTCAGGCGAGGAGTTCCTGAATGTCTTTCCCTCCATGCAAGCACACCGTGCTCACGTACTCTGAACACAGGCCTTCAGGAGTGTTAAAGCTTGGGGCATCTTTAGAGAAGAGATTGTCCAGAAAATTCAAGCTCTTAGTCTTGACTAATAGGGTGCTGGTGGCCAAGTGGTAAGAATTTGCACTTAATCCCAAAGGCACGTGGTTCAAGGCTACCAGCTGCTCCACAGGAGAAGGATGGAAAAATCTCTTCCTGGGATATTAACTGCCTCTGAAAACCCGCTGGCGCATCAACGATAGGTTGGTTCTGATTCTACAATACACAACAACAATAATCTTGACTAAGGGAGCACTGGTAGCCAACTGGTAAGAATCTGTGCTGCAATTCGGAAGGCATGCAGTTCAAATTCACCAGCTGCTCTGCAGAAAAAAAGATGGACAATCTCCTCCTGTTTTACTTACTGCCTCTGAAAATGCACTGGAGAGTCAGCTATGGGTTGCTTTTGACTCAACAGTACACAAGAAACAACAGCCTTGACCAAAAACAAAATAAAGCAAAACAAAACAAAACAAAAAAAAAAAAAAACAAGCCAACAACAACAGACCAGACACAGTAAAACAGCAGCCAAGAAATCAAAAGACTGTGGCAATGGGACAATTAAAACAGACTTTAAAGGACTATTAAAAAAAATTAAATCAAAAGACATGTTTCATTGGGGAAATCTGCTGTCAAGGACCTCTCTAAAGTGCTAAAGAGCAAGGATTTCAGTTTATAGACAAAGGTTGTCTTGATCCAAGTCATAGGATTTTCAATTGCTTCATATGCATCTGAAAATTGGATAATAAATAAGAAGGACAGAAGAAGAACTGATGTCTTTGAATTGTGGTGCTGGAGAAGAGTGCTGAATATCCCATAGACCGCCAAAAGAACAAGTCTTTCTTGGAAGAAGTGCAACCAGAGAGCTCCATGGAGGCAAGGCTGGAGAAACTTCATCTCACATACTTTAAGCATGTTGTCAGAAAAAACCAGTTCTTGGAAAAGGCATTATGGTGAGAAAAGTGAGGAAAAGGAGGAAGACTCTGAACAAGGTGAGTTGACACAGGGACATCACATCACATCCAGCACATCAGAGCTGGTGAAATGGTGCACAACAAGGCAAGATTCCCATTTACTGTTCACAGGGTCGCTATGAGACATAGTTGACTCAATGGAACTTCCCAGAAACAACCTTTATGGGAGCAGATTGCCAGGTCTTCTTCCTGTGGGGCTACTGAATAGGTCTGAACAGACAATCCAAAATTCTTCTGAAGTCTTTGAAATGTTATCAGACTGGATCTTAATCAAATCTGCTACTGTTAGGAATTAATATCTGGATGGGAGTGTCAGAGACAGTGCGATTGGCACAGGATAGAGCAGAGGTTAGGACTGTTGTATATAGGGTCACTATGAGTCACAAGTGACTTGACGGCACATAACAACAACAACAACATCAGAAGAACAAAACTAGTCTTGAAAGAAGTACAGCCAGAATGATACTTAGAAGTGAAGACGGCATTAAGAAAATGTCACTTACTTCAAACACGTCATTATGTGGGCCTAATCACGGGGAAAAGACATCATGCTTGCTAGAGCAGAGGCTGAGTTGAAAAGAAGGAGGCCCTCAACGAGACGGATTCACAAAGCGGCTCAAACACGGCAACAGCTGGGAGCTTGGTGCAGAAGCATATATAAAATTTAGTTCTGCTTCACATGAGGTCGCTATCAGTCAGAGCCAAGCCAACAGCACCAAACAAAAGAAACAATCAGTTTGAGTGGTGCCCTTATGAAAGAGAAAAGAGACATCGAAAGGCAATTTTTTTAAAAAACCAGATAAAAGAGGGGGGAAAATGCAGTGTAATGACCAAGTTCTGCTGGCTTTCCTCCTGGGAGCAAAGGCTCTTACTCCAGGGAGAAGCACTGCTGACATGCTGGTTTCACACACTGGCCTCTAGAACTGTGAGCTGTTCATTTCTATACTTATACATCACCTGGTTTGAGATGCTTTGTTATGGCAGCCCTACGAAGCCAACACACCCCTTCTCAGTTTACCTCAGTTTGTCTGGAAGATGGAGATCATCATACCCTCCTCAAGGGTGGATGTGACTATCTTCTATAAAGATGAAGGGCAAAGTTTCACCTCCTCCTCAGCATGACTGACTCAGGTCACCGTGCGTGCCAATCACCACACCCCAAGAATGACCCCACCTGATGTTTCCCAGGCACACGAAGAGTCTAGATGCCAGGTGTGGCCAGCACAGCCCATTACCACAGAGCATCTCTGACAGCATCTCTCACCAGAATCCCAAGTCAAGAGGTTCTAACCTGCCCATCATCCCACCATCACACACACCCGGGCTGAGTCAGGAACAAGCTGCATATCTTAAACCCTGAGTAGGCACAAGATAATATGCAAAACTTTGTTCTTAGCATACAAGGAAGGAAACCAACAGAAACACAGGGCATCCTGGCTGAAGGTAAGGAACACCAGAAACATGTCTGTTTGTTCTTTATTGACCATCAAAGGCATTTGACTGTGTGTATCAGAACACGGTGTAGCTGGCACTGAGAAGAATGGGAATCCCAGAGCACTTAATAGTAGACCAAGAGTCTATTGTGCAAACAGAGCAAGGGAGTACTAGATGGTTTAAACTTAAGCAAGGAGTGTGTCAGGGTTGTATTCTCTCTTCATACCGATTCAATCTGTGTGCTGAGCAAATTATTTGAGAAGCTGGACTCTACAAAGAAGAATGTGGTATCAGGATTGGAGGAAGACTCGTCGATAATCTTTGGTATGCTGATGACACAACCTTGTTTGCTAAAAGTGAGGAGGACTTGAAAAGTTGCAGAAGATCAAATTCTTCAATAAGGATTGCATCTCAACATCAAGAAAACAAAAATTCTTACCATTGGACCAACAGACAACAACAGACAGTCCCACCTTACTTGCATCCACAATCAACATTATTTGAATCACAAGTCAGGAAATCAGGAGACATACTGCACTTGGAAAGTCTACAGTAAGATAGCAATGCTGTCAGTTTGAGGACTAAGGTGCATCTGATTCAGGTCATGGTCTTGCTGATCACTTGTTATGCATCTGAGATCTGAATAAGGATGACAGAAAAAGACATATCTTTAAGCTGTGATGCTGGAAAAGAGTACTGAATATTCTATAGACTACCAAAAGAACAAATAAATATGTCTTAGAGAAAATGGAGCCGAAGTGGTCCTTGAAAGCAAAGGTGATAAAACATCATCTCACATACTTCAGGCATGTTGACAGGAGAGGCTATTCCTTGGAGAGGGACATCACGCTTAGAAAGGTGAGGGTTGGCAAAAGACAGGAAGACCTTCAACCAGATGGATCGACAACAGTGACGGCTGCAATGGGTTCAAGGGTGTCAGAGACTGGAGGAAGGCAAAGGATAAGACAGGGTTCAGGTCTGCTGTTCATAGGGTCGCTTTGGGTCATACGTGACTCGACTGCACCCAGCAACACAGGTTGGAACTTCAGAGTCCTGGGGCAAAACCCCCTCCATCCATTTATTAAGGGAACTCTGGTGACCTAGTGGCAAGAAGCTGCACTGCAATCTCGAAGGCACGTGGTTCGAGGCCACCAGCAGCTCTGCGGGAGGATAGGGAATCTCTTCCTGTGTGATTAACTGCCTCTGAAAACCCGCGGGAGGGCCAGCTAGCATGGGTCTGTTCCGACTCGATGGTACACAACAACATTAAGGACAGTGCTACTCTTGTCAGATGTCACTACATTGGCTCCAACTCATGGTGACCCCACAAACAACAGAACAGAACTCCACCTGATTCTGTGCCATCTTTACAATCTCTGCTGTGCTAAAGCTCTTTGTTAAAGGCACTGCTTCAATTCACCTCCTTGATGGTCTTCCTCTCTGTAGCTGACCAACTGCTTTTCCAAGCATAATGCTCCTTTTCAGGGACTGGCACTTCCTGGTGACACGCTCAAACGACGTGAGCTGAATTTTCACCATCCTTGCCTTGAAGGAGCACTCTGGCCGCACTTCTCCCAAGATAGATCTGTTTGTTCTTGAACTCCTTATAGTCAATACTCCTTGCCAACCCCCCAGTTCAAAGACATCAATTCTTCTTCAGTCTTCCTTACTCACTGTCCAACTTTCACATTTCTGTCAAGCAGTAAAAAAAAAACCACAGCTTTGGTCAGCATATCTTGGTCTTTGTAAACTGGTGTCCTTACTCTTCAGTACTTTAAAGAAGTCCTTGACAACAGATGTGCCCAACACAAAACCATCTGATTTCTTGTTGTGTCCATAGGTCTTGATTGTGGACCCAAGTAAAACGAAATCCTTGACAATCTCAGGCATCCCTCTGTTTACTGTGGTGCTGTTTATTGTACGGCTGTGAGGATTTTTGTTTCTCTTGAGATGTAATCCATACTGAAGGCTTCAATTATTGAGGCTTCATCCATCAGTGCTTTGAATCCTCTGCCCTTTCAGCAAGCCAACCGGTGTCATGTGCACGGCACAAGCCATATTACAGGAGGAAAACAAGTGTTCTCTGGACTTTACCAAGGTTCCTACCTCGGCGAGGTCTGAGTCAGACATTCGGCCTCCATTCTCTTCGACTTCAGAGCTTTGGGAACACAGGCCTGTCTCCAAAAAGAACATCAAGTTACATAAAGTTTTTTCCTCCTTCCTCTCAATTTTCCCTCAACCTTATTCATTTATTCACCAAACATATTCACTCCATTCCCTTAGGACACCCATCTCAGTTTAGTGTCCAGAGGGAAGCAATCAGATGCTCTGGGGCTATTTTACATTAAAATGCAATGAACCAGCAGGCATGTGGTTACATGGCAGGAACCACAGAACTCTTATAAAGCCAAAAGTTTACTAGGTAGAACTTTTTCACTCCCAAATGCAGCATGAAGTGGAAGACTATCAGCTCTGCCTACTCTCATAGCCTCTCTAATTTTTGTTCTAAAACCACCGTGTCTCAAAGCTGCAGGTTCGTAACTGATACTGTCAGAGCCAGTGTAAAGAACCCAGCGGCCTCTGGGCTCGGAAGGAAAGTCAGGTCTCACCAGGTGCCCTTCTGTATGCCGCATGCTTGGTGCACGTGTACATGCACACACATACCATACACATGCATTGACGCAGTGTGTACAGGGGCCGTGAGTGTACACGTGTGCTCACCTAGAGAAAGGAGGGAGGGAAGAGCAACTTGCTGGCACAGTAAAGTTCTTAGCTGCTAACCAAACGTCAGCAACGTAAACCCACTGCCTCATGGGAGAAAGCTACAGCAGTCTGCTTCAGTAAAAGACTGAAAACCTTGACGGCCCTCGAGGGCGGTTCTACTCTGTCCTGTGAGGTCACTATGACAGTATTAGTGAGCAGAAACTCCACAGGAGAAAGACGGGAAATCTCTCGCGTGATTTACAGCCTTTGAAAAGCCACTATGAGGTCAGCTATGAGTCAGTTCTGACACAACAGCTAGAACACTGCCACCACATTGCTGCTGTTGTCATGTGCCGTCAAGTAAGTACATAATATACACATACAAATATATAAATATGTTGTTGTTGCTGTTGTTAGTTACTGTCGGGTCAATTACAACTCACAGAGAGGCTATTAACAACAGACCTGTGTCTTGTCCTGTCCTGTACCATCCTCTTCATCTCTGATATACACATGCCCATTGTTATAATCACTGTGGTGATGATGACTTTTCCAAGGACTGGCCCTTCTTAACAACAATGCCCAAAGTATGTGAGATGAAGTTTCATCATTCTTTCCTCCCTAACTGTACTGTCTCCAAAATCTATTTGTCTGTTCTTTTGGAAGCCCTGGAATACTCAGTCCTCTTCTCCAACAACATAACTCAAAGGAATCAATTCTTTTTTTCACTGTCCAACTTTCAGATGCATAGCAAGCATTGAGAACATCATGGCTTGAATCAAGTACACCTTAGTCTTAATACTTAAATCATTGCTCCTTAATACCTTGGAGAAATCCTTAACAACTGATTTTTCCACTGTAATACGTCTTTCGATTTCTTGGCTGCAGTTACCAAAACACATATATGTATGCGTACTATTACTCTATAAACTCTATAATCATACAGAAATGATGTGAATTAGAGAACAGAGTTCAGGTCTTTTGTTCATAGGGTTGCTATGAGTTGTATTCGACTTGATGACACTTAACCACTGCTAAGTGAGACTAGTGTTGTTATATTTGGAATGAACATTCTTCTACTTTGTACATCACTCTTTGCCAATTTTCTATACTGAGGTAAATTGGGTTTGCTCTGATGCTGAACTTTGTGCCATTGGGGTATCAAATACCATAATGATCTCCCAGTGTGGACAGTGTTTGGTGGAACTCCCAGTTGTAAAACAGGTTTGGAAGCAGAAGTGGCATCCACTTCCTAAACCAGATGCCTATGCAAACTCTATGAAACTTGGAGAAATGACGATAGTTATGGAAAGGCATTAGGTCTTTTGTTCATAGAGTCACTATGAGTCGTACTCTACTTGATGGCAATCAACAACAACATATGTATGTATGTATGTATTTACAACATATACATACATACATACAGCTTTATCCATATACACATATAGGAGTGTATGTGTATGTGTGTATGTATATATACATATACATCTAAATCATTGCCATCAAGTAGGAATTGACTCATAGCTGAACCTCCAAATGGTTTTCAAAGGCAGTAAATTGCACAAGAGATTACACATCTTTCTCCTGTGGAGCAGCTGGTGGATTCAAACCACCTGTCTTTGGGTGGCAGCACAACTCTTTACCACTAAGTTACCAAAACTCCATATATTCACATATATACTTCCTGAAGCCAGTGAGTCCACCTCTGTGTCCCTCACAGCCTAGCCAGAATGTCAAGCTCAGCTGCTACTCAGTAAAAGTATCTGAGTTGACGTCTTTCCTTGCCACCTACCCGACTTCGCAGTAACAGCAGCCTTCCTAAAGCCTGGGTCCCTCCATCAAAAACATCTGCAAAGGTTTTCTGTTTCCTTCCATTCAACTGAACGTAGTGACAACCTGCCTCCCAGTCTCCACAGCACATGCCCCCCTCACCCATCTCCCTTTCTCCTCTCCATCTGGTGCATGAAAACAGAGAGTATGCTGTTTTCTGAACACATGCCACAATTTTCCTCAATTTTCTTGTTTCTAAACAATGACATTTTATCCACCATCCAAAGCACAGCTCACAAGTATCCCCTCCTCTCTGCCAAATGCCCGTGGCCCATCCTCTTCTGATACTCTTAGTCCTGGGAGGCTCGCACTTGCGGCCTTTACAATTTTGTTCCCTAACGGCAGGATATATGGACTGTGTCTTATTATTGTCCCAGGTGCCCCACTGACATAGGTTGATGAGAACACCAACCTGGTACAGCATCCCTTAGCCCCAGAGTAGCCAGCACCATGCCAAACACCAGATCCTTGGTAAAGGCTGTCTAGTGATAAAGGGTTGACCGTAACTCAGAAGACCTCCAGCATGTGACTGAAGGGAAGCTGGCCCACCTAAAGCACTTCCCCAGCTTCCCAGGGGGAAGGCCACCTCAGTCACTGACCCGCTCATCACAGCTCAGCCTCTGGTAGGGCAGTTTTCACACCCCTGGAGCTGTGTAACACAGAAGAGGAGAGCTGGTAGTCCCTGGGAGCCACTGTCCACTCCCTCCGGCTCCACTTGGCCAAAAATGTTTTCTTTTCCATTGCATAAGAAGCTTCCAATGGCGACAAACCTAACACCTTCGACAGGAGGAGATAAAAGGCCTGTGGGTGTGAGTGAGAAGAGACAGAGGCTGCATGTGTGTGGAAGGGTACACAGCCAGGCAAGTGTGAGCAACACTGGCCTCATGTGACTCTGCAAACACGTAACAGAAAGAAAAACAGGCTCCGACCAAAACCAAAGGCAGCATGCTCTGCCCGGCAGGGGCCCGCCACTCCTGCCCAGACACTGCTCTGCACCCCTGGACTGAGCGGTGCTGTTCTCAGGGAAAGAGCCCCCACCCCACCCGTCCTGCTGTGCAGGGCTACAGGGAGGGGCTGGGGAGAAAGCAGGGGACAGGTTACATAAGCCTCATGGGGATGTGCTGATGTAAGAAAGCAAGAAGTTAGGCCTGGACCTCAGGATGAGCGTGGCTGAGGGATCAGAAACCGGTGAGAGGCCAGGCCGGTCCAGAGCAGCGGCCGAGCCTCTCAGCACCATGCCTTCCTCCCCTGTCCTGGCCGGGCATGCGGGGAAAAGTGGACAACAGGCACCTGCTGACAGCCTTGAACCTTTCATATATGGCTGCCGGAGGGCCATATGAGAGGTGAGAAACCAAGGTGCTTAAAACACTGTCTGGAAGCAAGCTGACACACATTGGGAGTGTAGGCACCCTGCTCCCAGCTTTGAAAGCAATTCCACCAGTAGGGAGCTATCCTAAGGAAACAAACCTAAGTCAAGAACATGGTCTTTGTGCATATGGGTATTCACCACAGTAATCAGAGTAACAAAGCAAGAGAATGAGTTTAGACAGCCAAGAACAGGGACCTGATACAGTGAACAATGTTTCTTCTACTAACCTTTGTGTTGGGTGCTGTCAAGTCAACTACGACTCACAGTGATCCTCCAGATGACAGATCTGAACCTTGCTCGATTCTGCTCCATCACCACGGTCTCTAACATGCTCGAGGCCACTGTTACGGCCACCGTGTCAATCCACATGGCTGAGGATACTCCTCTCTTTCTTTGACCATCATGATGCATTTGTTTTCCCCCCCACGGATTGGCCCTTCTGGACTGTGCCCCAAGTATGTGAGACAAAGTTTCACCATCGTTGCCTTTAAGAAGCACCTAGGTTGATGAAGCATTCCAAGAATCTTCAGACTGTATGAGGCCGAGAGTCAAGCCCAGTGGTTATGTACGCAGCTGCCAATCAAATGGTCAGCAGTTTGAACCCATCAGTCCTGTAACTAAAGACACAGCAATGTGTTTCTGTGAGGATGCAGTCTGCTTTTGTAACCATGTGTTGGACAAAGAACAGAAGAGAACTGAAGAATTAAAGTGCTACTACTTATAGAGTAATAAAGGAATATCATTCTCTTTCCTTTTTCTATTTCAATGTATTTCCCAGATATTCTTCTGTGAATGGTACTTTCAAAAAAGTGGGGGGAGGGAGTCAACATATTTTAAAAGTAATTTAGCGGGGAAAGAGTGACCTTTCTGCTGCAGAAGGTTCAATGAAGGAGACATTTAGATGCAGCTAAGAACCTGTAATTTCTGGGGCAAACTTCAGGCCGCACTCTCTAGGGGAGAACCCAGGAGCTGAGCTTCCTAGATCAGCCCTCAGGGTCCATCATCCACACCAGGGCCCAAGCTCACTTTCTAGAAGGAAAAGGAGCTCTAAAACAGAAACAAAATGCCAGACATGGCAGAATACAGCGATTACAGGAGAACAAAGCCATCAACACAAGCACAAAGCAGCAGTAAATTCTACAATGTTAAAAAAAAATTTTAGAAGCAGCAGTAGAAGACCATAACAAACTCAAGACAGCAGTAATGATGCCTGAAAACAAAGTGTCCTCCTGAACATCGCAGGAATTCCAAACTATCTGCCCAGTAGGAGCCTGCAATGCTGCCAAGTGCTGGGTGGTAGCCAGACTTTTCGACAGATCGTGTCTCAGATTGGACTGGAAACTCGAGGACTGTTCATTTGATTTTATGACTATCACATTTTAGGGACTAGTAATAACCGCCGTCTTAGGAGGTAGACCTTGGGCATCTGTGAAGCACATTACCATCTGCCCAGGGAGGCCAAGGAAAGCCTTAGTGTTTGGGTCTGCCCCAGGCACATCTGAAACAAGTCCTTCCCAACCTCCCGAGACAGCCCCCTCATGGGTCCAGGTACTGCCTAATGCACCCACTGCATGGGCAGTACACAGCTGACCAAGGCCTGTTCTCTCTGCACATCGCCACCCCGAGCAACCACACTGCCAGTCAGGGACTGTCCAGAGGGCCAGACCCCATGGATGAAGACCAACAGGATCAGTCAGGCCCTGAAAACCAGACGCCGTGGACTCACCCTCAACTCCTGGCAGCCTCCCCTGGATCTGATTAGAACTGTACTCAGCAGGGTTTTCAAACTAATGATTTCCAAGGGAAAAAATAAAGGTCACTAATATTTTTCTTCAGAGGCACTACGGGGTGGACTTGAACTGCCAACCTTTTGGTTAGCAGCTACATGAACCTTTTAACTATTTGGACCAATCAGGGACTTTTTCATTACAGCCCATCTAATGAAGTTGTTTGAAATTTGTTTAGCCACTGAACCAAATAGAATCCTTCTGTGAAACCAAATATATAAGTAGATCAAGATGGACTGGTAAGAGCTGGATAGAGAGGTAAGCTGAGAGAATTCTCTCATTCCAACTCCCCAGAGTCCCTCGGGAGACTCCTGCAAGCTGGGGCTCCTCAGAATGTAAGCTCAAGCCACTCACTGGAGTGGTGGCTGGAAAGCTGAATTCAAGGCAGACTGTACAAGCACTTGGTGGCAGAGCTAAGATCATCATCCACATCTGTCTCCCCTTAAAATTTAGCAGAGCAGGAACCACAACATCAGACGCTCGAATTACCCACAGAACCTGCACTGGGCCTGCCTACCCAGAAAAGTCACATAAAGGCCACATGAAGATGACATAAGTAATCTTTACTTGGAGAAGCAGGCCTACAAGCCAGACAGACCTGTGTTCAAATCCCAGCTCAGCCACTTAAATGGCTGTATACACCCTCGGCAGGTCACAACCTCCTCAGTCAGGTCTCATCTGCAACCTCACAGGGCAGAAAGGAACACCGGAAAAGGGATCAGAGCTGTGCCTGACTTACTAGAAAGAACCATAAAGGCTAGTTTTCCTCCAACTACCCATTTGGTGGGTTCATCTCCTGTGTCCTTCAGACCCCAACTCAACACACACCAGAACCCTTGCATTACAACTAGCAGAACTGTCAGAGGCCTCCAGGGTGGGACTTGCCTTGCAGAAACATCTTAGACAAAATGAATGAATGTGACCCCACCCCCACCCCCGTGGCAGATAACCAGCTCAGTGCTGGAAAGGAGAGACAACCTTTAACTCCAAGTTTACCATGTCCCTTCAAACGGGGGGGGGGGGGGGCGCTCTGTTCCTTCGGGTCTGCTGAGCACAAGCAGAAGCCCTTACCCAAATGGTCTGGGTGTCTCCTGGGCCATCTGGGCCATCAGGTGCTGCCTGGTCTGGGGACTGCTAGAAACACAAACAGCCACAGCAGCTCAGGTGGCCACACTTCAGAGCCCCAGACTCCCCACTTGTCCTCAGAGGGCTCAGGTCAAGGTTCACTGTGGCCCTGAAAGTGGGCAATATTCAGAGCTCCAAACCAATCAACAACCATTCAGAAAAGAAGCATGGTATCATTTTGAATGAGACCCCCACAGAGTCCCAAGATTACCAGACCTGTCTATCCCCAGCACTCTCGTGGAAGCTGAACTGACCACAGGCTACACAGTTACATCTCTTCTTTCTTGTAGGTACAGAAACACAGGCAATCCTTTTAATGGTATGCTGTGGTGGTGGTGGTGGTGTTGTTGTGTACCACTGAGTCAGAATCAACTCACAGCCAACCCTCCAGCAGGTTTTCCAAGGCAGTAAACTGCAAGGAAGAGACGGTCCATCCTTCTCCTACAGAGCAGCTGGTAGATTTGAACCACAAGCCTTTGCGACTGCAGCACAGCTTCTTATCACAAGGCCACCAGAGCGCCCTCCTGAGCATAACATGAATGGTACAGCACTTCCAAAAACAAGTCCTTAAAGAAACCCAAACATAAACCCACTGTGGTTGAATCAATTCCAACTAATAATGATTCTATAAACTAGAATGGCACTGCCTTGTAAGAGTTCCAAAGCCGTAAATACTTATCAATGCAGACTACTAATCCTCCTCCAGCACAGTGGCTAGGGGGTTGGGACAGCCAACAATCACTGTACCATCCATTTACACATATACTGCTGTTGTTTTTGTTGTTGTTGTTGTTAGGTGTCGTCCAAGCAACTCATAGCGACCCTATGTACAACAGCCCTAAACTCTGCCCTGTCCTGTGCCAATCACACTGTATCTGACGTTCCCATCCCGATTACCCCAGTCACTGAATCAATCCACCTCACAGAGTGTCCTCCCCTCCTGCGCTGTTCCTCCACCCTCCCAAGCATGATGTGCTTCTCCAAGGACCTGTCCCTCCTTACAACATGTCCAAAGTATGTTAGATGGAGCCTCAGAATCCTTGCCTCCAAGGAGCTGCCTGGTTTAACCCTCTCCAGGATGAACCTGTTTTCTCAGCAGTCCGTGGGACCCTCAATACTCTTCTTCAGCACCACAGCTCAAAGCCATCAATTCTCCTTCTATCCTCCTTGGTCATTGTCCAACTCTCTGATGCATAACAAGTGATTGCAAAGACCACGACCTGTATCAGACACACCTTAGTCTCCAGAGAGACACCACTGCTCTTCAGTACTTTGGAGATGTCCCTAACAGCAGACTTTCCCATTGCAATATGTCTTTTAATTTCCTGGCTACTGGTGTCAAGAGTGTTGACCATGGAGCCAAGCAAACTAAAGCTGTGAACAATCTCAATCTCTTCACCATCCATCCTGATGCTGCCAATCGGTCCAGTTGAGAGAACTTACTATTTTAAAGTCTGGTAAGCACAGGCTCTGATTCAGGCTAGATAGAATAGGATGTGGATGATCAGGGCTCCAACCATCCATTTCACACATGTACTAGGGGTTGAGTCAAGACTGAGCCAGATCCCTTGAGCCCAGAACACACACCACACAATGTGCACCAAGGCCTTGTGAATGGGCCCCCAGGCCCTTCCCTTAACTCTTGGAGCCAGAAGTTCTGTTTTGCAAAGGGCTTTGCAGTATCTCTCCACCTGTTTCTCTGAAACTCCTCTCTCAGAGGCAGGACCACGGCAGTGCTGGAACCAGGAAAAGGAACACAGAAGTCAAACGCTGGGTTACCTTTGGGCATGATCTGATGCATGGCCACCGAGAGGAAGAAGATGGAGTCGCTGTAGTAGGTCCCAGAGCCAGCACTGAAGTGCTTCTGCATGGCCGACACAATGGGGAAGAGCTTGTCGGTGAGCACGGTGACATCATGGAAGATGACCTGCAGAAGGTGGAGAGAGACAAAGTGAGATCCTTATTCATTTCTGTTCCCCTCAAAAAGGTGATAAAACTGAATATGGGAATTATTGGATAACAAAATTAATATCATGTTGTTGTTGTTGTTGTTATGTGCCGTCATGACTCATAGCGACCCTAGGTACAACAGCCCTAAACTCTGATCTGTCCTGTGCCAATCACACTGTCTCCGATACACCCATCCCAATTACCCCAGTCACTGAATCAATCCACCTCATAGAAGGCCTTCCCCTTCTGCGCTGTCCCTCCACCCTACCAAGCATGATGTCCCTCTCCAAGGACCGGTCTCTCCTCACAACATGTCCAAAGTATGTTAGACGCAGCCTCAGAATCCTTGCCTCCAAGGAGCAGCCCGGTTTAACCCTCTCCAGGATGAAGCTGTTTGTTTTCTTAGCCGTCCATGGTACCCTCAATACTCTTCTCCAGCACCACAGCTCCAAGGCATCAATTCTTCTTCTATCCTCCCTAGTCATTGTCCAACTCTCTGATGCATAACAAGTGATTGCAAAGACAATGGCCTATATCAGATGCACCTTAGTCTCCAGAGAGACACCACTGCTCTTCAGTACTTTGGAGAGGTCCCTAACAGCAGACTTTCCCATGGCAATGCACTTTTGAATTTCCTGGCTACTGGTGCCAAGAGTGTTGACCGTGGAGCCAAGCAAACTGAAGCTGTGAACAATCTCAATGTCTTCACCATCCATCCTGATGCTGCCAATTGGCCCAATGGTGAGAATCTTTGTCTTCTTGGCATTGAGTCTCAATCCATATTGGAGGCTGCAGTCCTTGACCCTCTGCAGCAAGCACTTCAGGTCCTCCTCAGTTTCAGCAAGCAGGTTTGTGTCATCTGCATAACGCAGACTGTTGATAGATTTTCCACCAGTCTTGACCCCACACTTCTCTTCATAGAGCCCAGCCTCCCAGATAATCTGTTCTGCATACAGGTTGAAAAGGTATGGAGAAAGGATACATACCTGGCGTATGTCCTTCTCAGTTTTGAACCATGTTGTGTTCCCTTTCTCTGTTCTGAAGACTGCCTCTTGGTCCAAGTATAGGTTTCTCATTAGCACGATCAAATGTTCTGGGATTCCCATTCTTCTCAAAGTCAGCCACAGTTTGTTACGATCCACACAGTCAAATGCCTTTGCATAGTCAATGAAACACAGACAGACATTCCTCTGGTATTTCCTGCTTTCAGCTAAGATCCATCTAACATCAGCTACAATATCCCTAGTACCACGACCCCTTCCAAACCCAGCCTGGACTTCTGGCAGTTCTCTGTTGATGTGCTGTTCCAGTCGTTTTTGGATAATCTTCAGTAGAATCTTGTTTGCGTGTGAAATAAATTATATTGTTCTGTAGTTTCCCCACTTTGTTGGGTCACAATTCTTTGGAATGGGAACAAATATAGATCTCTTCCAGTCAGTTGGCCACGTGGTTGTTCTCCAGATTTCTTGGCACAACTTGGTGAGCATATCCAGGGCAGCATCTGTTAGCTGAAATATGTCAATTGGTATACCATCTATTCCTGGAGCCTTATTTTCTTGCTATTTCCTTCAAGACAGACTAGGAAGAAAGACTGGTCATCCACTTCTGAAATGGCAGGCCTCCAAAAACCCTATGTACAATTAATATCATACAGAACCAAAATCTTGCTGAAGATTATTTCAAAATGGCTGGAGTACTACTTTGAAAGGGAAATGCCAAAAATTCAAGCTGGATTCAGAACAACGGCCATGGCACAGGGATCATTACTGATTTCAGGTAGATCTTGGCTGAAAGCAGAGAATACCAGAAAGATGTTAATTTGTTTTATTGATTATATCAAGGCATTTTACTGTGTACAAGACAACAAATTAGGCTAGTATTGTGAAGAATGGAAATTCCAGAACAGTTAATTGTGTTTATGTGAAAATGACATCCACCAAGAAGCAGGCTTACAAGAGGAACAAGGGAACAGTGTATGGCTTAAAATTAGCAAAGGTGTGTGTTGGGGTTGTATTCTTTCTCTTTACCTATTTAATCTGTATGCTGGGAAAATCATTCATGAAACTGGACTATATGAGGAAGAATGTGGCAACGAGTTTTCAGAGGCTGCTGATTACATGAGAGGAGATTGCTCATCCTTTTCCCACAGAGCCGCTGGTGGATTCTAGCTGCATGCCTTTGAGACTGCAGCAGGGCTTCTTACCAATAGGCCTCCTATAATAGGCATTGGTCAATAATAATTAATTCTATAAAAGACCATGTATATGAATGGTTGTATGAAACACAATGTATCTTTTAAAAAAGATAGAATTTTAAAAGAAGAAATCAAAAGACATGCTGTGTTGGGGAAATCTGCTCTCAAGGACTTCTCTAAAGTTCTAAAGAGCAAGGATGTCACTTTAAAGACTAAGGTGAGCCTGATCCAAACCATGGTCTTTTCAATTGCTTCCTATGCAACTGAAGGTTGGGCAAAATCTACACCTTGGCATTGTGGTGTTGGCAAAGAGAATTGACTATATCACAGACTGCCAAAAGAACAAACAAATCCTTCCTGAAGGAGGTGCAATGAGAGCCCCCCTTGGAGGCAAGGATGGTGAAACTTTGTCTTGCCTACTTTGGACATATTTTCAGGATGAGCTAGTCCTTTGAGTGAGACATCATGCTGGAAAAGGTAGAAGGTCAACAAAAGAGAGGAAGACCCTCAGTGAGACGCATGGACACAGTGACTACCACAGGATGGAGCCAGATAGAGCAAAGTGCAGCTCTGCTGTTCACAAGGTCACCATATGTCGCAGTCGACTTGAAGGCACCCAATAACATACTGCTTTCCTTATCCTTTCCCCATTTTTTGTGTTGACTGCTTTATTCTTTTTTTTTTTTTTTTTTTGTGTGTGTACCTTCTCAGTCTAAGATGAGGAATTCAGACCAGTCTCTGTTATTTCACAACACAAACAATGGAGTACGTCTCTCCCTCCTACACATCTTTCACTCTGCACACCCCGGCCCTGCCTTTGTGAGACCTACAACATGCTGGCTGCACGTTTATTGCCTGCCCTGGCTGGGCCTTATCTTTTGCCTCGTGTCCACAGCACATCAGCACCTCTTGTGGACTGTGGACAGTCTTCTTTCAAATACACACCTTCTTCTCTTTCTTTCCCTGGCTTCACAACCTCCAGTGGCCCCAAAGTGCCCTTGGTTAGAGCCCACACTCGCTAGCAGGGCTTAGAGACCATCCCCTCGGGGCTCTGGCCACCTCTCCTGCTGTCCCCTGCTCTGGTGCTCTGGTGCTCTGGTGCTTTAGCAGGACTTCACCCTCTTGGTCAGCCCCACCCTGGAGCTTCATGCCCTTGGATATGTGAGCTGTTCTTCCTACTCTTTGGGACTCCTTCCATCTCTATCTGCCTTTCCCGGCCTGGTCTTCCTGACAAATGACCATCCAGTCTTCCAAATTTGCTTGGACCTCCTTCCAGTGGGCATCCCCCACAGCCTCCTCAGACCCTTTACCACACAGACACCCTGTCTACCCTGAACGATTCATTCAACAAGCCATTTAATCCTAGTCGCTGACTGAGAGCTCCCTGAGGCCAGAGGCTTGGGCTGCCGTGGGCCCTGTGCCCAGCACCCAGCTACATGGCAAGCCATCCCTCTATGCTTGCTAAACTAAGTAGACTGCATTCTGGACACGTTACTAAACTTCTCTGAGTCTCTGTTTTCTCAAATGTACAGGAAGGATTACATTGACTGTGTAGGACTGCTGTAGGGGTTGTCTGGGACCTAGCACAGAAAGTGTGGAGGCCACGCTCCAGTCATCCCCATTAGCATCCTGCTGCCTTCCCTCCCCTAGGCCCCCAACTCCCCTCTTCTCACAGACCAGTCTTCACTCAAAGGCCAGCTTTTCCCTCAGAGCCTCATTACACCACCAAACCTCCACCAGAAGCCAAAATTTGACAAGAAGTTAGAAGCAGGCAGGCAGGATTCTCACAGAAGTGGAAGTCTCTGTATTCACTAAAGAAAAGAATGCATATTACCCAGTACACACACACACACACACACATACACCAGGGCCAACCACATCTGGGTTTGGAGAAGGCAACAGGAAAGCAACAAGGAGCTTATTCCCTCACCACATCTCACTCGAAGCTTCGCAGGAGACAATTACATCCCGCCCGCATTGCTAGATTCGTGAGGACACACTGTTCTAAGTATACTGTTCCAAATGCTGTGTGGGGAAGGCCACTCAAATTAATATTTCATGTAATCAATTTACTTAAAGAAACTTTAATACATTTCTTAGAACATACTTTATGTAAAAAAAAAGCAAAGCATAGAAACTTCAAGGGTGAATCAAAACTTCCAGGCCACTGTCATCAAAGACAGGTTTGTAGAACCTGGTGCTCAAGGGTCAGGTCAAAGCCTGGCACACCCTGGGGGCCTCAGCCCACCCAGAGCCTGGTGCCCGGCAGAGTGGAGGGAAGAGGCTAGAGACTGAAGGAAAGTGAGAAAGGGGGAGAGTCAATGCCATTTCTCCATCTTTTCCCCTCTCTCCTTCAAATCTTCCACTGCAGAAGCTGAAGGGAGCGTTGTTCCACAACCAAGAAAATCAGGAATGTGAGGTGGCCCTGTATTCACGGAAAACGAGTGGTGAGAGGAACTGAAACAACAGTTGGTGCAACTGAATAAATCAGTCAGGAAATGTAGTCAGGGATGCAGTCAGTGAAAGGCCTTCTAACTGGATGGACTGATACCAGGACTGTAACAACTGACTGCTGCCTATACTTCAAGGACTGTAAGGAGGGGCAGGATCCGACAGTGTTTCTTTCTTACAGCAACAAAAGAATGTTACAAGTGCAAACCAAACAACACAAAGACATCTAACAGCAACTAATAGGAATGTAGTGAAAAAAGCTATTTGCAACTGTTCCTCTGCTGGTTTAGTAGTAAGGAGTTGCACTATCAACCCAAAGGCATGGGGCTCAA